TTTTTTTTATCTCTTAAAAAATACTTATTTAGTAAGGTAGTTAAGTTGTAGATTAGAAAGACAATCTGTAAACTTATTTTTGTAAATAGTTGGCTACGGATTGCAAATAGCAAGATATGACCAAATCTGTAACATAGCTTTAAAAGGCCATATCTGCAGATTTAAAGTCCAAAAGCATATGGGCTTTTGGGTTTTGTCTTGGACATGAGCCCATTTGACTCCATCAACCCAATAGTGGGCTGCCCCATTCAATGTCAAGACAAGCTCACATCTTACTAGTTTTAAGCAATGTCATTTGATAATTTTCTCTCATTACTCTCATCTTTTAAATTAGTATTCATAACAATATTTTTCTCTCATTAGTTAAGTTGTAGATTATTATTCAAATCTTTTCTTTAATTTTTTTTTTAAAATAAATAAAAATGGACATAAGAAAAGCATAAAAATCAAATAAACCACAGTTTATCCAAGTTTAATTCAAGCCAAATGTAGTCAATAAAGCGACCGTGCTAGAACCACGGGACTCAGGGAATGCCTTACACCTTCTCCCCGGTCAACAGAATTCCTTACCCGGACTTTGTTTTCGCAGACCAATAATAATAGAGTCAAACCTTCCTTTGAATAGGGATTCAAATAAAAGGTGACTTGGAACACCAGTAAAAATCAATTCCAAGTGGCGACTCTGTAAATAAAATAATCCTTACTTCAAATTTGTCACTTTAATTGGAAAAGCTCTTTAACCCACAATCCGTTACATATTGCACACTTATCTCTTGGAGGGGTAAAAAGGGGGTGTGACAATGCATATAGAGATATGATCATTGAACCGACTCATTGGATAATTCCTAATGGTTAGAATTACCATAAACTATCAATAGGATATTCTCTTGAAGAATGTGATGTAAGAGTTTCCTTTGACCTGAGATCGTCATAGTAATTGACAAGTTATTTATTGTGCTTTGATACCAGACACATATGGCCCTAGGGCGATAGTTGAAAGGATATAGGGTATGATTAAATACTTGTAGAATTAGTGATGGATCAAGATGGAATCTGTCAACTCTTGGTAATGAGTTTAAGCTCCATGTTGTCATGAATTATAAACGACCAAACTAAGACCTTGGCCAGGGCAATTGAATGAAAGAAGAAAAGAATTTCTTAGGTCATTCAATGGTCGATTATATTTGACATGAACACATAGTTGGTCGCGTATTAGGATTTGACAGTTGAACCATATCCTAGGGTGATCCAGAGCTATAAGGACAGAAGGAATTACTACATTGTTCTTCTACTGGTTATTGAGAGTAAATTGTATACTTCATGCTATCCGGTCGTTAAGGAATGTTGCTATACGCCACCCTTGATTAGTATATTGATGTGATCAATTTACTACCAGTTTAGTATTGAACCTATGGGGTCGCACACTAACAAGTGTTCTGATCTTTGCTAAAGGATTAATTAACTTATTATTTGATAATTAAATTAAGGAATTTAATTAATCAACTAAAATTAGTTATTAGTCCAAATGAAATATTATTATATTCTTTGCTAGCACAGTGGGTATGATTAATATTGTAAACAAATTGAAGTTTTCTATTTGGAATAAAAAATTAAATTATATCTCTTGAAAATATATATGTTATATATATTTAGTACAATTAATTGATAATTGTTTATATATTTTACATAAATGTTAATGATGACTAACTTATTAGATCCAATTTAGAATTGGACTTACTTTAGTCCAGGACGTGTCGGCAATTCCTTTTTGGAATGAATTCGGTTTTGAAGAAGGAAAATTATATAAACTTGTACTCCAAAAGGAAAATAACGCCTTAACCATTATTTTAACAAAATAGGAAAAATGATGATATAAAAAGGGTGTTAGGCAGCAGAAAACGTGAGAGAGTATTATTCCAGAAAAGGAAAAAATTTTCCTCGTCACATTAATTCTTGAGAAGAAAAACACTTTGTGAAAGTGAGAGTACAATACAAAGCCAAGAGAGAAAATACAATTATAAGAAAAATATTTCTTGTTCTTCTAACATTGAGAACAATATTTCGTTCAATTTTGTTCGCGGGTTACATTGATAAAAGAGTTGATAGCAAAAATCGATCTAGGTATGGATACGCATAAAGTCTTCGCACTATCGAAGAAAATTTTAAAACGACTCTATTCACCAGGTACGTCTTGGATCTGATCTTTGACATGTAAATAAATTTTAAACACGAAAAGATCTGCATAGGATTGTTATTGTCTTCCGCTGCGTGTTATGAACATCTATACGCAATCCTTCAAAATGCATACATTAAAATTTTGAATTGATTTATCCATATAAAGGATTTGAGGATTTCTTGAAAGTTTTGGACCTGTCTTTTTGTATGTTTAATTTCCGTTCATAGTTTAATTTCAATCATTTTCCCTCCTGTCAAAAGATTAAGGAAATAACCATTCAAAATTTAAGTTGGGTTACTTCCTCTTATTATGAAAACTAGGTGGAGTTAGCCCGTGCTGTGAAACTTGAAACTATTAGTATTGAATCACCTAGACAACATCGCATGCTAATTGTAAGGTATTATTTACATGCATTTTGAAACGGAATACCCACTCATGGATGTCATCTGGTTGACAAATGATACATTCTTTAATTATATGACAGCATCATACTGTTAGATGCATAAGTGTCACATTATCTACATCATATATATATGGAAAAATTATTTACATTTTATACTATTTATTCACTGGCAAATGGTGATGCTTTTTTTGTGTTGTGTTTAATCTTCTACTTAACGCCTCTTCACAAAGAACACCTGTACGTAATGATCATTTGTCAGTGCTCGCCAAAATAAAAGGTAAAGAACAACAAAGAATAGAATTTTGAATTTAAATAGTGAGGAATAGGCAAGGAAAGAAGTTTCTTTTTCATAAATAGCATAGCTTTGGGCAAAGACAGCATCTTTCTACGATCCACATGACTGAAACCAAATGTGGGGAAGGTTTGTTATTAACTCAATCAAGTTAAGCAGGTGAATGGACAGTTATGCATATGAGATTTATTGTAATGAGAATGTTAACAATTCAATACAACAAAAGTATATGAGACAAATTCTACTCACATACCCAAAATATCACGCAAAAAAATCAGACACAAAGGATAAAATACTAACTCAGCAATTTGTCTCAAAGCCATAAACGAAAAGATATTCTAGATGCAACTTGAGTACACCAGTCTCTAGCCTAACCTCTGTTATATAAATTATATGAATTGACAAAACATGAAATGAAATGCACGCATAAATTACTTTACTTTACTTTACTATATATTAGAAGAGCTCAGGTTTCGACCTGGCTGCTTCTTCATCAACGATGGAAAAAAAGGTATGTATCTTTTAGAAGACAGCTATAGTGCTCCTCAATTTACACGTAGGGTGTTGAATAAGCCACGCGTATGAAATTAGTATAAGCAATGATTAAAAGTCCAAAGTGCCCTCGGTCTTTTTGAAAAGACATGAAGTTGTTCTTCTCCGGTAGTATGTGACAGCTACAGTGCTCCTCAATTTACACGAAGGGTTTCTTGAATAAGCCACGTCTATGAAATTAGTATAAGCAATGATTAAAAGTCCAAAAAGCCCTCAGTCTTTTTTGAAAAGACATGAAGCAGTCAGGTGACCTTAAGAAGAAGACCAAAAAGACGAATCCTTTTGTTTGAACTTTTCCATTAGTCAGAGGAACAAACAAAGAAAAATCTGCTAGCTGTCATGGATTCAATCCCAAAAATTTTGAAATACATGGCCTATCAATTGGTGAGGAACGTAAACTCCGACTAAAATATTGCTAATATAATCATGCTGAAAAACTAATTTAATAGAAACCACATATGTCAGCCACTTCCACATAAGATAACGTGCTCCCTTCTAATCATTCGGACATGCTTTTCAGAACTTGTATTTTGAAATGGGAGTCGAACACCAGCAAAAAATTAAAATGTGCACGACTCTACCGGGTGCATTGAAATATGAGAAATAGTCGTATCTAGAGATGAGCTTCTCACAGCTTCCCTAAGACAAATGCATCAGCAAGGTGTTGTAAGGGATCTTCTACATTAAACCACCAGTCCTTCCTTCGAGTAATTTTTCCAATAGAAATAATTAAATCATTCAATAAAAACTATTTCACCCTCAATTAATGATTTGTCCACATGACCAACAAATATATTTCCAATTTAAATATATCTTCAGACTGCCCTATACAAACTCTAGGACACCCTGACAGTTTTTAGAACCAAGATAGTTTAATTGGATGCATGGAGTATGGACGACCACGATAATCAAGGTTGTGCGGGCAGAAGAAACCTTCTTTATTTTTCATTTTATGCACTACTTGTTCAACCATGGAGAAGAAAACCTTAGAATGAAAATCCAACAGATTCAAAAAATTTATGATTTGCGATTATAACTTCGCCCCAATAAAATTTGCTATATATGCTTTCAGATGTTATTGGAAGCATTAGTATCTTAAAAGATAAAACGGGGAAGCAATTGGAACCTATAAGAATTTTTGAGCTGGATGTCAAATCGTTGTGAGAAGTTTCTCTATTCTCTTCTTGACAGATTTACCTATCCAATTTCACATCGTTAGTAGTGAATCATCCTCTATATCTGGCTCTTTTGACAAAGGACCTGCAAATGACAGAAACTATAGCGATTGCAGTTCTTGACTTGAACCATTTACACAACTTATTAGATTCATCTACTTATAAATGAAAGATAAAGTACCTTATGAATCTTAAGATGATAGTTGAAGTACAGAGTAACAAATGTCATCAGGAACAACCCAATCGGCAAATGACCGACACCATCCCATATTTTGTCAATGACAGAAATTACACTTGTTTTGTTCACCATTTGCTACATCTCAGAGTATCAAGAGCCTATATACGATAAAAAGGAACAAGTGTCTCAATTTTCATGATGCGAGCAGACAAAGCAAACACAATCTTTAGATTTAAGATTGAATTAATCATTGGTTCATGAACTTACGAAGCTGATCGCAACTGCTTTCTAGGGGTTCTTTTCACTGCTTCACTTTTTTTTCTTGCTCCATGTGTCCTCATCACAATTGAAGATAGAAAGAGAGGATACCTATAAATATATGTAAGTAAAAGAAACAGACAATAGGAAATAGAAAACTAAAGAGATAAATGTACAATATTACTGTATCCTGCGTTTATGTCCATTTTAATGGAGGTTCCAACATTGGCATGTCGGCTATCACTATGTGTCTCGCTTGCTGGCAACACAAAGATAAACAAAACATTGAGGAATTGTTCTTAAATATGGAAGGTCACTATTTCAAGCCTACCTTATCAACAAAAGAAGCTTTTAGATAAGTCATATAGCTCTTAAAGAAAAAAAAAATTACTCATAATTTGTTGAACTCTGTTGGAAGCTAGTGTGACACATTGGATACTACTATATCGTTTGCGCGCACTTCCTGAAAAAATCTCATAATTATCATTCTAGTTGTCACAATTAAAATAAAATAAAAAGCATCTTGAGAAAAGGGAATTAACCAGCACTTTGTTTCTTAGCCAGAGTTCTAACATTGCGTACAAAGAGAATGTTTATGGATTAATTGCTAACCAATCAGCAGAAGGCCGTAACTAAGTTGCCTGCAAAAGCAAGTCAATTAAATGGTTGTCAACCTGGTGGCGAGAAAATGTCAAATTTGAGTAATTCATATATCACAAATTATTTGATGGGCACAGATATTAAGCGAGCACAAGACTTTTTTCGAAATTGTGAGACATGGGGTTGAGTCCGATGTCTGATTCATTGTTAAATTGGAAAACCACTTCTGCCAAGTGCCCAATTTATCATGAATTCCATAAAATTGAGTCAAATTTTAACGTTCTAACTTAATTCCTTCGTCTTTAATGAGAAGTAGTCTAAAATGCTTAAAAATTCCCTTCGCATTTGTCTAGCATAAAGAGAGTTGAAAAAATTGAAAAAAATTTAAAATCATGGCCGAAAATGAAAATGACATGGGTCTTAGAATACCCCGTCTACTCACCTCTGGCCGCAACTATCGAAAAGAAAATGCTAACTGGGATACATTCAAGTTGAATTGATAAGGAAGATTTCAGCTAGTTAACCATCTATAATATAAAAGTTGCCAGAGACTTCCAAACGGCAAGTAGCGTGGAAATAGCTAAGCAATATCTATATCTATATATTATTAAAAGGAAGAAAGTCTAGCCTAGAATTATAACAAGTGGCTGATGGATTGCGTATAGGTGTTCGTAACACGCAGCGGAAGATAATAACAATTCTAGGCAGATCTTTTCGTGTTTGAAATTTATTTACATGTCAATGGATTGGATCTAAGACGTACCCGGTGAAGAAAGTCTCGTTTCAAATTCTTCGATAGTGCAAAGACTCAATGCGTATCCACACCGAGACCGATCCTTGCTATCAACTCTTTGATTAATGAAATCCGTGAACAAAATTGAATGAATTATTGTGCTAAAGCTCTTCTCAAAAACCTTAGTCCAAACGTGAAAGACCAAGAAACTGAACTTTCTCGTCAAGAGTTTTTCTTGACTCTTTCGGTATCTCTATTGGTTTTTACGGCTTCTCCAAGAAGCTATATATCTCAAGTTAATCTGACTATATATATATATATATA